ATATGATTCAATATCTTTAATTTCATAACTTCCAGTTGGAATATCAATTACTTGATTTCCAACGTAAAACTTGTTATTTCCTTTATCAATATTGGGAATTGAATTAAAAGTCAATAGTTCGACAAGACCAAGTACATAACTTTTATTTGAATTTAGTTCTATTGGAGGGAAATATTCAGCTCCCAGAACTGAAGAATTTCCTGTTAACGTTAAAGTAAACGAATCACTCATGTTGCTGTCAGATTTTATACTGAAAGCTTACAGGTGTTACATAGTCTTATAAAGGTTTAAAACAACTCTTAATATTTAGTTGATTACACAAAAATTTGAGACACAAGTGTCCACATACAAATGTATCATAATTTTGATATTTTTTATGATTATATTTTATTAAGCTACCATCACCCAAGTAAATGACAAGATCTGTTGGTGGAGCAAGGTTGACAAAACTATCAAAATACATTATTTTGTTTTTGAATTTTTTATATGCTACCCAATGTGTTCCAGCACCTTCTTTATTATCAAGATTAATTATTCCTGATTCATACTTGTAAGGACCACTTACAGGTAGTTCATTTCGCATAAAATACCACGAAAATGCGGTATTTTGACAGCTTTGGCATGCTTCCACAGATCAAAGTCAGTTAATGGACGGTGAGGTAGCTTCAAAACAAGTTTTTTGTTTTCCTTCTTGTTGTTCTCTTTTTTCTTAATGCTCGTTTCTTCTTCTTTCTTGATGCTCGTTTTTTTAATTCCTTTTCCTTGAATGTAGGGTTTCAAGTGGAGACCAAGTCCTTGTCGATAAGGTTTAAGGTGTAATCCCTTTCCAAGTGATATGGCTTCCATGGATCTATTGTGACGTTGAGCTTCTGCAAGCTGTTCACTAGCTGTTTTAGCCTTATTAACAGCCCTTGCTATTCCTGAAGCTCCTCCAGCAAGAGCTCCTAAAGCACTAAGTCCAGCAAAAATTGGAACTAGCGGTAAAATTCCACCTACTTTAGTAGGTACAGGAAGAATTCTAGGTGATAAAATTTTGGATTTACCACCAACATTTTTTATTGCTTTTCGTGCACCAACTATAGCTGCTCGAATTGATTCTTCAGCATTATTACCAGGAGCCATACTTTTTCGTGCAGCATCAACAATTTTTCTTAGCGCTATTTGCTTCTTCTTACACATTGTTTTACTCTTCTTCTTTATAGATGATTTTCTTTTTCTTCTCATTCCCATGCCTAACTTTGATTTAGCTTTCATGGTTCCGGATATAGCTAAAGCAGCTGCTCTTTCACTTACACCAGAATCTTTAGCTGTAACACGTTCCCAAGCTCTCTTAGCTAATACTTTATCTGCTTCGTTTCTAGCTTGAATATTTTCACGATTTTGCGAATAAGCAATGTCGTGTTGTTTACATGCAGCGTCCAGTGGATTAATTCCTTGGTCACCTCGTGACAAACGCTTAGCCAACTTTGTACCAGGCCCACAAAATTGGTATCCTGGTAAATGTAACTCAAACGGTAAACTATTGATGATACGATTAATTAAACCTTTTCCTTGATAGCGACCTTTTTTCACCTCCTGATGCATAATCATACTTCACTCTACAATGGTTGACGTGAAACTGACAAATTGACTATAAAAGCTGGGTATTTATAGATTTTCAAGCAGTTACTGTCAAGATGCAGTTCACGAAACAACCTGTCGCACTGCCAATCTCTAGTATAGATGTTGAAACTAATGAAAAAAGATTAAACGTCATGGTAGTCTGTTTTCAGACAGCATTCGAGCAGTTTTCTGTGGCCCCTCAAATTGTGGTAAAACAAATGCTCTTCTTTCCCTAATAATACATCCAAATGGTCTAAGTTTTGAAAATATTTACCTCTACTCTAAATCTCTACAGCAACCGAAATATAAATTTTTAGAAAATGTAATCAGTCAGGTAGATGGTGTTGAGTATTTTCCATTTAGTGAACATGAAGAAGTAGTATCTCCAAAAGATGCTAAAGCAAATTCAATATTCGTTTTTGATGACATTGCTTGTGAAAAGCAAGATAATGTTAGAGCTTTCTTTTGTATGGGCAGACATGTAAACGTTGACAGTTTCTATTTATGTCAAACGTATGCTCGTATTCCTAAACATCTAGTTCGAGATAATGTTAATTTATTGGTTCTATTTAGACAAGATGAAAAGAATCTGAAACATGTATACGAAGATCATGTTAATACAGATATGAGTTATACTCAATTTCGCGATTTATGTTCAGAATGTTGGAAATCTGACAAATATGGATTTGTTGTTATTGATAAGGACCGTAATTTTAATGAAGGAAGATATAGAAGAGGATTTGATTGCTTCATTTCACTATAAATACAAGAAGTTCATTGAATTTTTCATTAGTATAGTTTATCTTGTCTCGAAGAAAACATGTATCGAAAAGAGCAAGAAACGCTTCGTCAAATAGCAAAAGCAAGTGATGCTATTAGGCGGAAACATCGTTTACTCAAAATGGGTAAAGAGGCTGCAGAAACAGTATTGAAAGAAACTTTTCAACCAATAGTAACACCCCTGGAAAAGCTGGTGAACATAACTGACATACCTTTCAAAAATATTAAAAAAGAAAAAGTTAAAAAGGAGGAAAATGATTTTTCTTTCTCAACTGCTGTTGATGAGGAAGAGGAATTTGATAAAACACTACTCAATGACAGTCTATTTGATAAGAGCAACAAGTTTGAAGAAGGAGAAGAACTTAATTATGAAAATTTGACAAATAAATTTATTCAATTATTGAATAAAAATAGGAAAAGTTTTTTAGATATGGTTTATGGAGTACGTAAGCTTCCTAATGGTTCTTTTATTATTGGTGATACACCAGTTGATTTAGAAGGTTCACATATTCAACTTGCTGGAAAGAAAAAATATTTAAAAACTGCTAGGTTGCTTGAACTTTTATTTCGACAAGAACCTAATCCTGCATTAATAAGTTCAGATGATTTGGAAAATTATAAAGAAATTCTTGTAGCTACAAATGCACACCGAAAAAATTATAGTTCCAGTGGACTTGTCAACGTAACCAGGAGTTCTAAATACACTGTTGTCATTTCAAAACTTTTTAAGGGTACGCCAAAAAAGGGTAGTGGTGTTTTGAAGAAGAAGAAGAAGCTTGGAAAGAAATTACCTCAATTTATGATTTCAAAGAAACAATTTAACCCAGACTACATCTATTGGGATGATCCCAATGAACTAGTTGACCGTTTACGTCTGCTTGTAGCATCACAGCAAGCTGGTAATCCAAGCCATAATAATGAAATTATGTCAATCATCGAAGAACTACGTGAAGCTCGCATTATATATTAGGAGAGTACAAGCAAATAAAGCTTAGTATTAAAATGAGCATTGATGTGTTTGGACATCCCTTGTCACGGCCTCTTGCAAGTCGTGGACTTCCTGGACCTTCTGGAATTGGTTTTAAAATTACTCAAAGTGAACAATACGACATTGATAACAAAAGACTTTGCAACGTTCAAGACGCTGAAGAGCAACAAGACGCTGTAAATTTAAGACTTGCACAGAAAATTATTAAAAACGAGATAAAAACAGTTTTTCAAATTACATCTTCTTTAAGATCAGCTATTGATGATTTGAATCTTTATATCCGAATTATCGAGGATAGGGTGAACGAAAAACTTAAAGAAATTGAATCACAGCAAAATTACATTATCAAAGAGGCTAAATTTATTCAACAGTGATGGCTGATCAAAAATTAACAGTTGTAACTGAACTGCATAAACAAGCTAGAAAAAATTATCCTCGTCGAAAAGTTCAAATGCGTGGCATCGATGAAACCTGGCAAGCAGATTTGGTTGAAATGATACCTTATTCTTATTCTAATAAAGGTTTCAAATACATGCTCACAGTTATAGACATTTTTTCCAAATATGCCTGGGCTGTAGCTGTAAAGAGTAAGAATGGAAAGGATATTTCTTTGGCCATGAAAACTATTCTCAAACAAGGCCGAATTCCAAAAAATTTGCATACTGATAGAGGAAAAGAATTTTACAATTCTGAATTTAAGAGTTTAATGCAAGAATTTAACATTAATCTCTATTCTACATATAGTAATTTGAAAGCCTAAATTGTTGAAAGATTTAACCGCACTCTAAAAAACATGATGTGGCCTGAATTCAGCTTGCAAGGCAATTATAAATGGATTAATCTTTTACCAACTCTCATGACAAAGTACAATAATAAAAAGCATCGTACTATTGGTATGAAACCCAAAGATGTCACCGTAGAAGATACAAGAGAACTGCTGAGACGTATCCGTAAACTACGTAGAATTCCGCTGAAAAGATCAAAATTCAAAGTTGGAGACAGAGTTCGAGTTAGCAAGTTTAAAAATATCTTTGAAAAAGGATATACTCCCAACTGGACAACGGAAGTATTCACCGTGGATAAAGTTAAATCAACAAAACCAGTTACATACAAGCTGAAAGATTACCAAAATCAACCCATCGAAGATGGTTTCTACGAAGAAGAATTGCTGAAAGTCCAATATCCAGATGTTTACCTCGTAGAAAAAGTTCTCAAGACTCGTGGTAATGATGTATACGTGAAATGGCTTGGATTCGATAGCTCACATAATAGTTGGATAAAAAAATCTGATATGTAATATAGTTAAAGTAACGTTAAAGTAATGTTAAAGTAACGTTAAAGTATAGTTAAAGTAATGTTAAACGAATGTTAAAGTAACGTTAAAATAAGTTAAAGTAAAGTTAAAATAAGTTAAAATTTAGTTAAAATAAGTTAAAATAAGTTAAAATTTAGTTAAAATAAGTTAAAATAAGTTAAAGTAAAGTTAAAATAAGTTAAAATAAGTTAAAATATAGTTAAAATAAGTTAATGTAAATAGGTTAAGGTTTTTTCTAATAAAGTAGACATAAAATAAATTGAACATCTTTTTATTCAAACAACCATTTCTTTCTCCTTTCTGTAACAAATCTTTTTACATAAGTTTATTTTCATCGTCGTCGTCAATTTCAATAATTTTACAATGACCCCATGCGAGGGTGTCGGTGCTTTTTTCTATCAAGTATCTCTTGTCGTCATAAGGACTTAGTGCAATTTTTGTTTGTTTCAAAGTTTGTACTTTGTGAAGATTCGACCTAATTGAATATTGCGTTCTAGATTGCATTTTAATATTTCGAAGACAATAAACATAATCATCAAAGTCGATATTTTTCTTAACAACTTCTGCTTTGACACCTTTAGCCTTTTTTATTAAATCTTTCCCTTCTACACGGACGCTGTATATTTTGCTCCGCAAGCCAACAAATTCTGTTACAATTTTTCCATTGCATTCATCCTTCATGAGACCTAATATCTTTTTGTTGGCTTGCGGAATATTGTACACGTTATTAACCGGATAATCAGAAGTGTCGAATTTCATAATGTCTTGTTTCATATCGGCGTAAATGTCTGAGCACTTGATTTCATAAATCAGACTATCGGTGTCGGTGTACAATAATTTCAATTTTTTTTCATCATACTTGTTCAACATATAATCATAATGGAAGTCGTAGATCAAAGTTTTTGACACATCCAAAACAGTCAAGCCAACATACACCGGCTTGTTCATTAGTACCTCCATTTTCCTAAGCTCCACAGCAACCAAATTCTCATTAAAGATGGCTCTGCTGTGGAAGTTAGGCTTTGCTATTAAGGCTTCAGCTCCATACCTACCCTCCCACTTTGTCACAAGTTTGATGTCAACATGTTTTCGCACGTTCTCCATTGTTTTGCCAAATACCGCGTTGTTCATCAATTTAAGCAAGTTTTTCTCAAATTCATTACTGGCGTTTGTTCTTTGCGTGGTATTAAAGTCAATGTAACTTTTCAACCATGTGGATTGTTCGAATTTTATGACGCGATGAATTTTAACTAACACGAGACCGTTGGCAATAGCTTGTTTTAAGGCACGATAATGGAGAACGTGCTTTCGTTTCGGTAGGAGGGTAGTTAGGAGCTTCTCCTTTTTTAACCCTGGTGGCTTCGAGCGTTCCGGACAAAATGGAAAATCGCTGTGTTTATCATGAAGGTGATCTGGATAATCCAAATCAACTTCCAAAATGTAACCCGTAGGCGCATCGTCTGCAACATTGAAATCAAAACTATTATCAACATTCTCTACCCACTTGAAGCCACCATAGGGAAGCGGTTGAACCATTGCCCAACCGTATAGATTATTTGCGTCAAAGTATACGATGTAAGACGTGTCCTCATTTTTATCAAATTGTTCCATGTAATGATTGTTAGCTTTTGCATATCGATTTGTACATTGACTTACACCACCTCTTATTCCTCGTTCAATAAACATTACCATGTCAATGTCTGTCAAGAGTTCAAGTCTTACTTCCGTATACTTTAACATTGCGTCCCAAGTCAAACCCGGTGTAGTATAATAGTGTGCTGGATCTAGACCGTACGAGATTAAACACTGGTTTCTGAAATTTTGACAACTAAATTCACTCCACACTTTCTGCGCATGTGCATAGTCTTCATCGGAAACATTTGAATCGTTCAATGTGCTGTAGAATTTATCTTTCGGCGGTAACTCTGTTTCGTCGAGTTTTTCCCTTGAATCAATGTATTCATAAGGAAAAACTCCTTTTCGCGTTAATAATTGAATTTTATCGTCGCTGTAGTTTGAAAAAACGGAATTTACAATTTTGTATTCTTCGAGATAGGATGCTAACTTATCCAGAGATGATGCCATAAACTTGAAAGAATCAATAAAACGAAATTTTAGAAAACCACCTTTTACATTTTTAGTAAAACTAATGTACTTTTCTTTGTTAATAGGAAGTAGATTAACAGTACCATCAAATTCTGTAGCAATAGATTCAATGATAAAGTGTGCATCATAGCCACTTAGGTTATGAAAGACAACAGGTATGATCTGCGATTCATGGTAATTAATATTACAATCTTGATGAGCGGGTCCGCGGTACTTCCCTGTTAGATGGCAATGATCTCGTACTTTCACATCCCCATACGCGATTTTCTTTTTACGAATATGACAAGTCATATCATTTCGAAAAGCTGCCAACTGCTGTGGACTTAATGTTTCCATGGGAACTGGGTTCTTGAATATGGAATCTAGATTATCAGCCAAGTTCTTTAATTCTAAAGAAAACCATTTAGCTGGATTTTCCTCATCTCTAGGTGATGCTTTGTACACAGACAAAGAGTCATCGAAACTACACTTTAAGTAATAACCAATACTGAGAGTTTTATGGTTTTGAAACACCTCAGTATTTTTTGGTTCTTGGGGTGCTGCCGAGGGAATTAACAGACTTTCACAATCGGCATAAATGATGAAGGGAACACGTTCCTTATTTTGAAAATTTTTAAACTCGACTGTATTTTGACCTTTTTGGGGTAATTTAATCTTTGTGTCGTTCATTTTTCGACAATGCTCTTCATGTTGAGTGAGCTTTTCTTGATTCAGAAAATAATGTAAGCAACGATCGCAAATGAATTTTTTATTTTTCTGCTTTGATAAGTCTGAGCTAACAAGTCTCGACAATTCCTTATTCAGACATAATGGTAGTTAAACGATATGAGAGGTATATCAGTTTCATCATCATCATCTTCACTTAGATTTTCATCTATATAGTGATCTTCAATTCGAAGAAGATTGACGTGATTCATCTTCTTTTGAGACGAAAGATGAAGAGGTGAAACTGTAAACTTCTCATCTCTTTTAACAAGACCATACAAGTTAACGGAAATGTTGTTTAGGGTTTCAAATTTAGAAATGTCTTTGAGAGAAACAGGAAATTCGATACCACTAAAATTGAGTGTATCTTCATAGGGTCTATATTTTGAAACTCGATCTGCGTGTTTGTCTGCTGGGTACAGTGCTGACAATATTGCCCATTTAAAACACTGGTTATCAGCATTTTGGACATTAATGCAGGCATGCTTTCGATTGATAGAAGTTGGCAAATTAATATAAGAACTTGCGCGCATGGGATTGTACTTGTTAATGTTAACCTCCAACCTTTCAATAGAATGAAGTCTCCAATTAGAATCTTTTTCTTGGAATTCCTCCATTCTTTTTAAGGTTACTTGTTTAACATAAACATTGTACCACTCTTCTAATGGGGTTGTAACTAAAATGTCACCGGTTTTCGCGATGAATGTCTTTAAATCTGATATTTCTTGGGTTTTACCATCAATGGAATCTTTAACAAATTTCGCGAACAATACGGTGTAAACTTTTAGCGGACCAAACCTGTTTAAAGCTTTTTCAATGTTAACTTTAAATAAAGTAAAGGCATCATCAAGGAATTCATTAATATCCTTGTAATCTAAATTCACTACAGCACTATTTTGTAAACGACCCTCAAACGCTTCTTCAAAATCCACCCATTTCATTCCTTCATTCACTACTTCAACACCCGCACCACGTTTCGTTAGAGTATCAAAATGGTAGAGCAAGTATTCCATTTTTTGTCTTAAATTTAAACACCTAGATCTTTGAGATGATGAAAAATCAGACTCACGTAAAAAGTTTCGGAAAATGTTTATATACCGTTGACACTTGTTCTGCCATTGGAATGCTGTAACCATTTTATCCTCAGCAGTCATAGCCATCGTTGAAATGAGCTGACGTTCCGCTGTTGTAATGAATTTGTCAGATTCTTGACACATTTCATTGTACTCTTCCATGTCAATACGTTGACGAGACCTCTTTCGCGATTTGCACTTTGGCATCTTGATAGCTAAATCTGAAAGAAACTTTAAAAAAAAATACGTCTAAAACTAAGAAAGACCAGAAAAATCCTGAAAATAAACCACTAAAACTAAAAAAATCCTGAAAATAAACAACTAAAACTAAAAAATCCTGAAATATAAAAAAAAACCACCACCACCTTAAAAACTAATACAAAATAGAACAAAAAAAAACCCTAAAATAGAAAAAAACCACCACCAACTTAAAACTAATGCAAACTAGAACACAAAAATTAAAAAAAAACCTATAATAAAAAATCAATAACTCCTAAATTCGATACGAAAAAAACTCTGAAAATTAACTCTGGAAAGAAACTCTGAAAACTCTGGAACCCTGAAAACCTGGAAGTAGACTGCTGCACCATTCAAGATGCAACTGATGTTTGTGGCCCGCGCTCCGTAACTTATACCCCAGTCCCCACTATACTCACCTCCCCACTGTGCAACTCCCCACTACTCCACAGGCGCGCGCAACTACAATGTAGTAAACGCCGACTACCGGGATAACTTGAAGTTAACATAACCCAAGTGGGTCATCGGTCGGTAATGCAGAACCCTGCCATACCGACCCAACCAAAAATGGTAGAAGAAATCTGCATTACCGACTGATGGTAACACTTACCATCGGTCGGTAACTTACCATCAGTCGGTAACTTACCGGCATTTTTATAGGAGCATTATCATCAAGGTCGGTAAAGTAGAACATCAACCAACTTACACTTAGTGGCGCGAAATTTAAAATTACCCCTTGTAACCCACTTGAAAGTTTAAAAATAAAAAATTTAAATTTCCCGCCAAGTGGTTGGAATTCACATGTGGCGCAATCTCTCGGTGGCAGCCAGAACACAGATGTCGGTAAAACAGAACATCCCTTCTAACCCACTTGAAAATTCAAAAATAAAAATTTTATTACCCCTCTAAGGGGGTTTAAATTGAGTGGTGGCGCCATCTAGCGGTGGCGGCCGGTACTAAAAACTCGGTCGGTAAAGTAGAACACCCCTTCTAACCCACCTGAAAGTGAGCTGTTAGGAAATCTACCTTACCGACGGTCGGTAACTGAGCCAGAACCCGTGTAGCTCTACTACTAATTCAATATTAAAACTTTAGTTATAAATTTAAATTAGTAAACTTTTATTTCAATAATTATTTTCACATTTGCAACATTTTTACTCGGCGGAACTTTTTGCATCAAAGATGTTTTTGTTGGCATTGAAATAATTTTTACATAATTAATAATATTGTAGGGTACTTTATGAAATTGTTTAGCACTTTAGTCTCTACTTTTGTTTAAATTACAAAAAATCCAATTTTTTTGGAAAAAATCTAAATATTTCAAAAAGTACTAAATGTATTGAAATTTTCTATACAATATATAACGAGATTTTAACACAATTAATAATATTCTAGAATATTTTAGAAATCTATTTAGGAGTTGACGGTTTGTCTAAATCTCAAAAAATCGATTAAGATTTACACAAGTTATTCAATTTTATCGAAAAATAGCAGATATTTCGAGAATATATATTCGCGGTTTTTGTTTTTTTTGGCGGCGATTCTCTACCGCGAATCTTGATTGTTTGAATTTTTCACATTTATTGGTTTACCTTGAAATTTGTATAACTGCAATTCACAGTTTTAATGTTGAACGACAGAAAAGTTTGTTGTTCAATATTTGGGAAAGATATTTAAATTTTTATGTATACTATATAAAATATGTAAATTGAAAATTTAATTCTAATTATTATGAGTCCAGATATTACTATTTAATTATTATAAAAATTCTGTAAATGAAAATTATTTTAAATTTTTAAAAGAATAAAAATGTAGTATAACGTTACTGTGCACTAGCATGCATAAATTTAATAATACATTGAACAATTAAAATTATGTAATTGAAATTTATGTATTAAACTTCCAGCACATTTTTCTTTCCTTATACAACTGTTTCCGAAATATAACATTTTTATAAAATATTTCCCCAATCCACGATGTCCGTTATCCTCCTAAAATATGGGCACTCATGTAAAAATAATTTGTTTTAGGCACCCTGAATGGAAAAAACCAGCCCCTTATAAAAAGGTTAAAAAGTCAATTCGACGTTGGCTCCGGAAGAATTTCCCTCCAATGCCGAGGCATATAGTTGACATAGAGGAAGTTCTGAATTGTAGCGAATGGCGCAAAAGGTTACAGTATTGCGTGGAAGAAGGCATCACCAATGAAATAACTGTGACAAGCGTCACGGATGAAACTGACTTTTGCCACGTGATATTTCACAGTGAGAAATTTCTAAACTCAGTTTTAGAAATTGATGTGGCAACTGCAACTGCAGATGCCACATTCAGAACTGTGCCGTGGCTTAAAGGATCCTTGCAAATTCTGATATTTTCAGTAATTTCGTATGGAAAGGTATAATTCTTTAAAAGCAATGTCGTTTACGTTAAGCCAAATACACCATATCATTTTATGACACTTTGCTCAATTGAAAATTATTCGCAAGAATTTCGTTCAGATTACGCAAGAAATTTTCTATCAGAGTTCGTTTGTCGTTTTAGAACATTTTCAGTAAATTCTTCTGAAAATAACATTTTTAAACACGTGTAATATAATTAAAATATACTACAATTTTTTGTTTTCGATTATCTCTTTAAATAAAGCAAATGAGAGAATTTCCACAAGAATTTTCGTCTGAAAATAAATTTGCATGTTTTTTCCTACGAAATAAAAAAATATTTCATGCGCTATCTGTACGAATTACTTTCAACTGGATAGAAATCACTTAATATTTGAAGAAAGTTAAATTTTACTGTGCTTATGATGAATTATTGAAAAGAAAAATATTTTTAAGGACAGTAAGATAATTATTATTTTGCACTTGAAGAAATATTCATTTTTACAATTCATGAAAAATGTTGAGGTCTTTATTTTCGGTGATTTAAAGAATAAAGTAAAAAAAAATATATATTTTGGTGTCTCTTAAATGAAAAACACATTATTTGCGAGAGAAATTATAAAACACGTAACTCACGAAAACAAAAATGAAAAATATTTTGTACAGTATTTACATAGTTTCCAAAAAAGTTTTTAAGAAATATTTCCAAACCTTAATTAAATATTTGCATTTTTAGATAACGCCGATATTTTTCGTCTTAATGAGCGCCAAATCCTTCGTAGCCTATAACAGTGTTGCGAAGAAGATTCGCGAGTTATCGCCGAGGCTAAAAATGGAGAAACTTATTACAGATTTTGAAATTGCTCTTAAGAAAGCCTTTTGCTACAATTTTCCAGAAATCAAGAAACTCATTGGATGTTTCTTCCATCTGTGTTATGTAGGTGCTTTACATTATATAATCTAGCAAAATCGTATGCGCGCGTGAATATTTTAAAAAATTATCACGAAATTGCAAATTGTTATTATGTATATATTACATTCTCTAAAAAAGTTAATACATATTATTTTTTTCAGAATCTTGACAAATATATAAATAAAGAAAATTTGAGGAAATACCTGCTGGAGTACGAATGCCTTCACGCGTTTGTAGAGAAGGTTAAACACCTGGCACTACTCCCTGCCGAAGACATAACCGAAACTTTCAACTATTTGGTTGAAAGGCTAGATACCTTGGACGACATCAAGTTATTGGACGGCAGCGAGGAATTTGAGCAACCGAGAATAGTAATGGATCCTTTCATTAGTTATTTTCGGCGATACTGGTTAAGGATAACAACACCTACAAATTTTTCGGTATATTTGGAAACAAGAAGAACCAATAACGACACGGAGAGAAATAATAGAGCCTGGAACAAAGTGGTCGGTAATCATCCAAATTTTGTCGATTTCATAGGTAAGCCATTTTTTATTTGAATTTATTTATTACGCAACCCGAGCCGAAATTTAGTGTACAGACTTAAGACATAATGAGTATATAGTTTTGATTTACTATTGTTAAAACTTGTAAATTTGACGTAATGCAGGTCTCGAAGTAGGTTTGTAAATCCTGAAAAAGTCCGTAACTTTGCTTCAAGTCCGTAAAAGTCCGTCTTTTTGAAAAAAGGATGTTTAGAAATATTAAAATTCTTCTCCGAAATTCAATAATATGCAAAAACCAAAAAGAACATTGTCAACATTTCAATTATCTTTATAAATAAATAGCAAAATTGTTCGACAAAATTAAATTATTTTCAAAAATTGTATTAAAACTCATCGCAAAATTTCAATTATTTTCAAAAGTTTCATTTCATTAAAATTTTATAAATAATTGGATTTTAGGGATACATTTTTTAGAAGTAATTGAATTTCTACCAAGAAAAGTTGTATCATAAAATTTTAAAATGTTTGAATTTCTGCTAGAATTCTGATATTTTTGAAAATAATTGAATTCTTACGAAGAATTTTATTAAGAATTTTAAAAATAATTGAATGTCTGCAAAAATTTTTAATATTTCATGGAAATATTTAAATTCTTGCAAAAAATTTTATTAAAATTTCTGAAGTTAATTGAAGATCTGCTAAGAATTTTGTTATTTTTAATTTATACCAAGAATTTTATTAAAATTTTTTTAAATTATTGAATTCCTGTTAATTTTTTACAAGAATTTAATTATTTTTGAAAATTTTATTAAAATGCGTTGATAGAATTCAATTATTTGAAAAATTGGTGATCAAGATTTTTTATGGGAATTGAATTTTAAAAAACGAAAATAAATATTCTCTTTTTTGATTCGGCCTGATTCTATTTTTATCAGTTTGTCCGTAATTTTTAATTTTTGGTCCGTGAAGTCCGTATTTTTGAATACTTTCACTGCTTCGAGCCCTGCGTAATTTCTTTTAAGTTGTTTTTAAATACATTTTAGACCCTGACTCCAATAAATTACAGTTAAAGAGTTAAGGTCTGATAAGATTGATCTATTTAATCCCACTTATACCAAAAATGAAAAGAAGTTACCATTAACACTTTATAAAACCTTTTTGTAAAAATATTGTTTAATTTTTTTAGTGAAAAAATTTAATTTTTAAAAATAATTTTTTTTTATTTTTGAAATGTAATATAATAATTGATTGTATTTAAATTTTTCCTTGCTTTAGGAAAGCTGATTGTATTTATGCAAATAACCCATCACGACTATAACGACACGAAACGAAATTGTTACTCCGAACGGAAACTCTCTGAAGAAGAGACGCATAGGGAGCAAATCATAAAAACTAATTGGCTCACGATTCGCGACGCTGTATTCGCGACACCTCTAGAGCGTCAACAAATAATTCTGCAATTTCTAGAAAATTGTAGAAGAATCGTTTATAAACACGGCGTCGAATTACACAAGTCTCTATTAACAGGAGGTTACAAAAATTTTATATGTAAAAGAAAAATTCTAAATTCCTTTTTCAATAACATTATGCAATTTTATAGAAGATGAACCACCAGCAAACACAATTAAAGACACGTGTACTGTCATTCGATCAACACCATGGGAGGAATTAGAGGATGCGGATAATTGGAGGTGTCCATTTTGCACTGTTCTTTTGGAAAATGAAACATCATATTTCTCGCATGTTGATTTGATGCATTCCCTGCATAAATGTGACAATTGTGGGGAATTTTATCATCCTGAAAAACAACACGATCTCTGTTGTAAGTATTTGACAAACTATGCAAAGAAAAATATCTTATCAAAAGGGTGAAAGTAGAACTAATTAGATATTTATATTTATTCATAAGAAAGGAATGATTTACTTGATTCTCCATAACTTCATTTGATATACAAAATAAAGTCATATTCAATTATTAAAGTTTTTAATTTTTCAAATTGTTTTAAACTATATAAAATACGAATCCGCACATAAATGTTCATATAATAATTAATTAAATATCTTTTAGTGCGAAGAGTGTCAATACCAATCATGGAAAATCGGACGGAAAATTCAAGAGAGCATGGTAAGAACAGAAAAAATCATTACAATAACTTTGTTAATAATAAATTGCAAAACTTTAATACAACAAGTATATTCTTCCTATTAGTGTGTGTCAACAGTTTTAAAGAGAGAACAAAGTCATGCAGCATTTTGTCATTAACAGATTGTAAGACTTTGTCTCTCTGTCTTCCAAACAATTTAAATTTTTTTAAATTCAGAAGGTCGAGCCATTTTTTTATCTATCTAGAAGGGAATACAGAGTTGCCACGCTACCTGGAAAACCTGGAAATGTCAGGAAATTTTATAAACCTTGAAAAAACCTAAAAAAAATCAGGCAATTTTGATCGAAATCCTGGAAAATTGTTGTTTTCTAAAGTTATCGTATTTTTGTAAAATTTCAATTTTAAATGAAATTAATTATAAATTTTAAAAAACCTAGATTTTAAAAAAATTCTAATAACTAAAATTCTTCTAAAATCAGTTAAATTTTTTAATATTTATTTGATAGATTATTAAAAATAATGTATTTATAGAAGAATTTTTATTAAAAACACTAAAACAAATAGAATTTTGAGGCAATTTCAAATGTTTTCAGAAATTCCATTAATTATGAAAGTAGTTAAATTCTTCACAGGAATTCAATTATTTACAAATTATTTTCATAAATTATTATTTAATTATTATCATAAATAACAACATTTTTTACTGGGATTCAATTATGTACATATAAAATATTTTTAAAAAATGATCGCATACTTTAAATTATTTGTAATACAATTTTAATGGAATTTCTCGAAAAATGTAAATATTTATACAAATTTTATTAAAATTTATCAAAGAAATTCAATTGTTTTTAAAACCTTTGCTACATTTTCATTTATTAGAATCTAGGTATTATTTTCAATACGTTTTTCATTAAATTTCTTCATAGAATTCAATTATATTCAATAATGAAATTCTTTGTAACAATCCAATTTATTTCAAAATAATTTTAATAAAACTCTTCGTAGAAATTTAATTAAATTAAAAAATTTGTCAAAATTCAATTATCTTCAATGTCTAATATTGCAATTAAATTTCATAAAAGAATTCAATTATTTAAAAAGAAATTTTAATAAAATTCGTCTTAAGAATTGAATTATTTTCGAAAGTAATATAATTCTTCGCATGAAATGTAATTGTGTTCAACAATTTACAAAAATTCTCGTAAAAATTTCAATAATCTTTATAAATTTTTCTCTAAAATTGAAATATTTTCAATAATTTTAATAAAATTCTTGGCAAAATTTCAATTATTTTCAAAAACTATTATAAAAAAAAGTTTAAAAAACTCTTTTTTCTTTAGAGAAATTCAATTATTTTTAATCGAATTTTAATCAAATTTCCGAAAAATGAAAATATTCTTAAAAATGTAATTAAAAATTGTCTAAAGAATTCAATTATTTAAAAATTTGTTGTTAAATTTTTTATGAAAATTCAATTTTGAGAAACATTCAAATATTTATTTTTGTAGTTAAATAATTGAATTCTCGTAGAATTTACTAATAAATAGTGATTTAAAAATGAATTTTAGTAAAAATTTGAGATTATAATTAAATATTGAAAGCATCATAGCGTATATTTTTTAGAAATAATAGAATTTTAAAAAGGTTTCAAATTAAAATCTTTGAGAATTTGAATTTTTCCTATTTTTTTATTAAGAATTCTGTAGAAATTTTTTTTTCTCGAAAAGTTTAAAGGAATTTTTTTTTAATTATTTGAAGTTTAAAAATTTTCTTATATATTCATTTGAAGATTATTGTCAAAATAATCGAAATTTCGCAAAATTAAAGTGTAAACAAATGAAGTTAAAAATTCTGAAAGAACTTTTTCAAAAATTATTAAAAATAATGGATTTACAGAAGAATTTTAGTTAAAATCACTAGAAAAAAATTTATTTTTGTAGAAGTTGCAAATTATTGCAGAAATTCAATTATTTTTCATACAATTTTAATCAAATTGAAGGGCTTGCTGCAATAGGGGGACGAACGCGAGACTTGCTGCCAGTTGGGTAGCAGTGACAAGCCTTGAGCCGCTCGCTGCTACCTGACTGATATTATCCCTTTTAACCACGCGTTCGTCCCCTTATTGCAGCCAGCCCTTCAATTACTAGAAAAAAAATTATTTTTATGGAAGTTTTAGTAAAATTCGACAAAAGAATTCAATTATTTAAAAATTTGTTGATAAAATTATTTATGAGAATTCAATTTTGAGAACCATTCAACAAATTATTTACTTTTGTATTTAAATAATGAAATTGTCGTAGAATTTAATAATAAATTTTTGTTAAAAGTGAATTTTCTAACATGCATACAATTGAAGAATTTAGGAATAATCGAAATTTCGTAAAATTAAATTATAAACAAATGGATTAGAAAATTTAGAAAGAACTTTTTCAAAAATTATTTTAAAACAATTGACAAGGAGGAATTTTAGTTAAAAATTCTCGAAATGAATAATCGAAATGATGAAAATAATTTTTGAAGAAGTTACAGTAACAAAGTATCAAGTTTTAATTATTATAAGACATAAAGAAAACGATCACTTCGAGTTGAGGACTCTAGGGTTACTTCATGTTATAGATTATAATTATATTATATTATATTATATATTATATTATAGATTGCAATTAAGCTAAAACGTATTTGCTAAAGTTCAAATTTTATTAATAAACTTAGATGCATAGTTTGGGGACCTGCATGAAATCAGATATTTTAAGCTAAAAAATATTTTTGATAAACATTTAGACCCTGTCATCAACTGACTAATAAATAAAGTAAGAATTGATATAGATTGCAAATTAGATAAAAAGTATTTGCTAATGTTTAAATTGTATTAAAAAAGCTAGATGCATAGTTTCGGGAACTGCATCAAATCAGAGTTTTTAAGCTGAAAATATCTTTGATAAACATTTAAACCCTGTCATTAACTGACTAATAAATAAAGTAAGAAATGATATAGATTGCTATTTAGCAAAATGTATTTGCTATTGTTTAAATTGTATTAAAAAACTTAGATGCATAGTTTGAGGACCTGCATCAAATCGGAGTTTTAAAGCGAAAAATATATTTGTTAAATATTTGAACCCTTTTATCAACTAACTAATAAATAAAGTAAGAAATGTCATAGATTGCAATTAAGCTAAAAAGTATTAGCTAAAGTTCAAATTTTATTAATAAACTTAGATGCATAGTTTGGGGACCTGCATGAAATCAGATTTTTTAAGCTAAAAAATATCTTAGATAAACATTTAGACCCTGTCATCAACTGACTAATAAATAAAGTGAGAAATGATATAGATTGCAAATTAGCTAAAAAGTATTTGCTATTGTTTAAATTGTATTAAAAAACTTAGATGCATAGTTTGGGGACCTGCATCAAATTGGAGTTTTTAAAAGAAGAATATATTTGTTAAATATTTGAACCCTTTTATCAACTAACTAATAAATAAAGTAAGAAATGTTATAGATTGCAAATTAGCTTAAAAGTATTTGCTAATGTTTAAATTGTATTAAAAAAGCTAGATGCATTGTTTGGGGACCTGCTTCAAATCGGAGTTTTTAAGCTAAAAATATATTTGTTAAATATTTGAACCCTCTTATCAACTAACTAATAAATAAAGTAAGAAATGATATAGATTGCAAATTAGATAAAAAGTATTTGCTAATGGTTAAATTGTATTAAAAAAGCTAGATGCATAGTTTGGGGACCTGCATCAAATCAGATTTTTTAATCTAAAAATATCTTAGATAAACATTTAAACCCTGTCATCAACTAACTAATAAATAAGGTAAGAAATGATATAGATTGCTATTTAGCAAAATGTATTTGCTATTGTTTAAATTGTATTAAAAAACTTAGATGCATAGTTTGAGGACCTGCATCAAATCGGAGTTTTAAAGCGAAAAATATATTTGTTAAATATTTGAACCCTTTAATTAACTAACTAATAAATAAAGTAAGAAATGATATAGATTGCAAATTAGATAAAAAGTATTTGCTAATTATTAAATTGTATTAAAAAAGCTAGATGCATAGCTTGGGGACCTGCATCATATCAGAGTTTTTAAGCTAAAAATTTCTCAGATAAACATTTTAACCCTGTCATCAACTGACTAATAAATAAAGTAAGAAATGATATAGATTGCTATTTAGCAAAATGTATTTGCTATTGTTTAAATTGTATTAAAAAACTTAGATGCATAGTTTGAGGACCTGCATGAAATCGGAGTTTTAAAGCGAAAAATATATTTGTTAAAAATTTGAACCCTTTTATCAACTAACTAATAAATAAAGTAAGAAATGTCATAGATTGCAATTAAGCTAAAAAGTATTTGCTAAAGTTCAAAATTTATTAATAAACTTAGATGCATAGTTTAGGGACCTGCATGAAATCAGATTTTTTAAGATAAAAAATATCTTAGATAAACATTTAGACCCTGTCATCAACTGACTAATAATTAAAGTAAGAAATGTTATAGATTGCAAATTAGCTTAAAAGTATTTGCTAATGTTTAAATTGTATTAAAAAAGCTAGATGCATTGTTTGGGGACCTGCTTCAAATCGGAGTTTTTAAGCTAAAAATATATTTGTTAAATATTTGAACCCTCTTATCAACTAACTAATAAATAAAGTAAGAAATGATATAGATTGCAAATTAGATAAAAAGTATTTGCTAA